AAGTCACAAAATACCGTTGCAACCAAAAGTTTCTCAAGACTCAACTATACAAGTGCATAAAACAATTGCAACTATATATACAGATGTTGCTATTTCTGACCATGTCCTCCACCGCCCGCTGGTCTGGTATTTCTTACTGGCATTTGATATTGTATCTGCGTTCTTTGATCACATGAATTCGTGTCTTATACCTGTTTCAGCAGACTCCTAAGAAAGTTACTGAAAGAACAGGTAATGGTTGTGAAATAGCATCACTAGGTGCATCGCTGATGCTTGCAAAGGAGAAAACTAGAAAGCATCCAATGGTTAGGTCTCAGAACGTTGTCGTTGATTGCATCTGATGTGTCCAACGAGGCATTTAAAATCTATCTTCGGGGTATCTAGAAATTTTTAGTATTTTGACATTCAAGAATCACATATCATTGCGATATTCAGTTGATATTCTTATGTTCCGTTTAGTGTTTACATACCAGCAGAACGTAAACAGATGATCTTTTGTTTCATCATGGTGGTTCGTTTACAAGACAATCATCATATTGAAATCTTACCTGTGATAGCTCCACATGTGTGGCTGTGCATAATGGAAAATAAAACTAGCATCATGTGACAGTGTGATGGTTGCAACCAACGGTGTCCTGTGTACATGTACTTTTTATTGCAGAAGTCAATCAATTTACCTTTATGGTGTACTCCCTCCATCCCAAAATAAGTGTATCAACTTTATACTAACTTTAGAAAGTATTCCCTCCGTTCCAAAATAGATGACCCAAGTTTGTATTAAAGTTAGTACAAAGTCGAGTCATCTATTTTAGAACGGAGGGAGTACATAATAAAAAGATGTGTAGCCCATCAAAAGTGTGATACCTTCCATGCTTGCTTAGCTGTTTGGTATTGGCAGATCATTGGATGTTAACAAAGATGCTATGTTGCCTGTAATACTAGGTTTACAACCTAATGTGTCATGCTTATAGCTCTCCTTAATTTGTTTAAACAGCACAGCCTAATAACCTATATGTTGTTGCAAGGGAAAACTATATGTTGTTAGCAGTCACCGCCAGCAATCTAAGGCAATGGTTGCCAAGGGAAGGTGAGGAACGAAAACTGAAATGCGAACAATCTGAAAATTGCAACTCAGCAGGTAGCACACACCGCATTCTCGTGCAGTTAACCAGCATGGCAATTCAGTAATCCACTACTAAATACTACTACAACTCTATATAGACAGCGGGTCTGTAAACCACACCCATTGCAGTAGCAACTAGCAAGGAAGACCAAAGCATCGTCAAACAACTATATGGCACACAATGACAATGCAATGTACTCCCCCTGTTTATGTGTTGGAATGTCCGGGGCCTCAACTATCCGGATAGACGAGCTACTGTCAGCACCACCATCGCTGCTTCTTCTTGCCATATTGTGTGTCTACAGGAAACAAAGCTTCACAATGTCGACATCTTCACAGCTTCCTTCTTAGGAGGGAGCAGACTCCGCAGTTTTGCGCAAAGGCCGGCGGACGGCACTCGTGGAGGCATTTTGCTGCTCTGGGACGATCACCTTGTGGAAATGTCCAACATCACAGCTACCACCTTCTGCCTGTCCGCCATGGTCCGTATTCGTGACTCTGATGTGCAATACAAGCTCACCACCGTGTACGGCCCCGCGGATTCTTCTCGCAAAGATGCCTTCTTCGCGGAGCTTATCAGCCAAAAACCGCCCAATGGCATGCCATGGCTTGCGGCTGGGGATTTCAACCAAATTTATCGTGCAAGAGACAAAAATAAAAGGCATGTCAATCGAAGTAGAATTAATCGGTTTCGAGCGACATTGCAAAGTTGTGAGCTTAAAGAGATACACCTGCAAAATAGGAGGTTCACTTGGAGCAACGAGGGAAAACCCGACTATGTGCAAACTGGACTTGTTTTTTTGCAATGCCGAGTGGGACACCACTTTCAGCACTCATCTGCTTCACGCCCTCTCGTCCTCTCTATCCGATCACTGCCCGCTTCTCCTCGCAGATGATAAGGGGCCTCGGAGGCCTAGAACCTTCAAGTTTGAAATTTTTTGGATTGCTATGCCCGGCTTTATGGAGGTGGTCAAAAAGGCTTGGATTGAGCCGCTCGAGCATGTTGAGCCATATCAAGTCCTGTTCCATAAGCTCAAGAAGGTGGCTCTCCGCCTTTCCGAATGGAGTAGGGGCCTTTTCTCCAAGGCAAAGGTTCACCTACACGCTGCACTATTCGTGATCCTACGCCTCGACATCGCTCAAGAGACCCGACAACTCTCCCCCGAGGAGAGTGACCTTAGGGCGAGGCTTAAAAGGAGGGTCATTAGCTTGGCCGTGCTTGAGAGAGCTCGGAAAAAGCAAAGTGCGAGAATTGCTAACCTCAAGGAGGGTGATGCCAACACCAAGTTCTTCCATCGCCGGATTAATGCTAGAAGGAGGAAAAATCACATTCATAGGCTAAAACATGACCAAGGGTGGGTCACCGAGCATGACGCTAAGGAGAAGCTCATTCTGGACCACTTTTCTGAAGTGATGAAAAAAGGAAACACGTGCAATAAGGATCTAAACTGGGAGGAGCTCAACTTAGAGGTACATGACTTGCACGGCCTCGACTCACCCATCACCGTTGAGGAGGTACGTGAGGCAATCAATGACATGCCAAGTGACAAGGCGCCCGGCCCAGACGGCTTCACTGGAGCTTTTTTTAAGAAGTGTTGGGACGTCATTAAGTTCGACATGATGAGGGTGATACACCAGTTTGACTCCCTTCACACATCTAGTCTCCATTGGCTCAACTCCGCAAATATAGTGCTGTTGCCCAAGAAAGAGGGCGCGGAGGGGATTGCGGACTACAGGCCCATTAGTCTCATTCATGCCGTCGCCAAGATTATCGCAAAAATTCTTTCCATCCGTCTCGCCCCGCGCATGAACAGCTTGGTCTCTAACGCCCAAAGTGCATTCATCAAGAGCAGAAGCATCCACGATAACTTCATGTGTGTTCGGAACTTGGCCCGTAGGCTACACAAATGCAAGACTCCGTCTCTCCTGTTCAAGCTAGATATACGCAAAGCCTTCGACTCGGTCAGATGGGAATACATCCTCGACCTCCTTCGGCGGAGGGGGTTTCCCCCCAAGTTTCGGGATTGGATTGCGGCTCTTCTTTGCACATCATCTTCTAGGATTCCGTTAAACGGGGTGGCTGGCAACCCCATCAAGCACGGTAGGGGCCTTCGGCAGGGGGACCCCCTATCCCCGCTCCTTTTTGTCATTGCAATTGACACACTCCAACAACTACTGGAGCTGGCAACCCGAAAAGGACTACTCCACAAAATTCGTGGGAGAGGGATCATGGTGCGAACTTCACTATATGCAGACGATGCGGCTGTTTTCATGGCTCCAATCAAAAAAGATATTGACAACCTCTCGGCCATTTTGCGCGGATTTGGGGAGGTCACCGGACTATGCACCAATTTTCACAAGAGCTCGGTTGTGCCCATTCGATGCAATCACCTAAACCTGGAGCACATTCTGCAAGGATTGCTAGCTAACAGGGCGTCCTTCCCCATAAGATACTTGGGTCTTCCATTGTCCGTCTGGCAGCTTAAGAAGGTGGATTTGCAATTTCTTGAGGACAAAATTGCGGCCAAGTTGGTGACATACGAGGGGCAAAACATCACCACCATTGGACGAACGACACTTGTTAAGTCTGTCGCCACCTCGCAAGCGGTCTATTTCATCACATCTTTGGTCATACCGCCGGGCATTCTTCACAATATCAACAAACTGGAGCGGGCTTTCCTTTGGTCGGGATCGGATAAGACGACGGGCGCCAAGTGCAAGGTAAACTGGGAGATGGTTTGCCGCCCGTGCGAATATGGCGGCCTAGGGGTTCTCAACACCGATAAATTCGCTCGGGCCTTGCGCTTGAGATGGCCATGGTTTGAATGGACGGCACCACAAAAGTTGTGGGTGGGCTTGGGAAATCCATGTAATGAGGAGGACCTTGACTTCTTCTATGCATCCACGACCATCACCATGGGGAACGGCGCTAAAACGCCTTTTTGGGATTCACCATGGCTCCATGGGTGCAAGCCTAAGGATGTTGCCCCGCTCGTCTTTGTGGCCTCCTCAAGGAAGAATTGGAAGGTGCGGGAGGCCCTACAAAATAATGCATGGATCCTCAAGATCAACACCTCCACGATTGTCTCCGCTGAGCACATCCGACAATTCTTCACACTATGGACACTTGTGAATGATGTACATCTGGATGCACTCTCTGAAGATACTATTGTGTGGAAGCATACGACAAGCGGGCACTACACTGCAGCCTCCGCCTACAAGGCCCAATTCCTTGGCTTGGTTCTCTCTCCCATGGACCAAATGGTTTGGAAAACTTGGGCGCCACCAAAGGCTAAATTCTTCGCTTGGTTGGCTATCCAAGACAGAACTTGGACCGCGGATAGACTACAAAAACGTGGATGGCCAAATTGTGGTCTTTGCACCCTTTGCAAGCGAGAGCAAGAAAGTGGACCGCACCTTTTCTTCAAGTGCCGCTTCACTATTAGGCTATGGAACTTGGTCATTGCAAAATTTGGGCTTCATCATATGGACACCTCTATGTGGCATCTTGAGAGTTCGGTCAAGGAATGGTGGACAAATAGGACCGGCGCCGGAGTCCCCAACAGGAAGGCCATGGCCTCTCTAAACATGCTCGTGTCATGGACCATTTGGAACGAGCGGAATGCCCGTGTTTTCCGGAACAAGAGTGCTCCGCCACCAATCTTGCTAAACAACATCATCTGCGAGGCAAACCTTTGGATCACCGCCGGAGCAGAAAAATTAGGGAACATTATTTTGTGTGAGTAATCTTCCATACCGTCTAAAAGTGTGTCCTTGTAACAAACTCTATCCTCTTCTTATTTAATAGATGAGGCAAATCTTTTGCCTTCGTTTCGGAAAAAAAATGTACTCCCCCTGTATGTCAGCATACCCAAGCTCAAGGCTTGATCTTGTAGCTCAAAACAGTGTCCCAGATCATCTGCACCGCGGAGTCCAGCATCCCCTTCAGAGTGTCCACCTCTTCATTCCCATCCTGGTAAATGATTAAGGAGACAGAGTCATCGTGCTGTTCAATCCACAGTCGGTTAGAAAACACAAAGCACTCATATGTTGGTAGGAGAACAGAATATTAGGTGTGCACATGACATGGTAATTCCAATTGAGAGTAGCCAAATGTCAGCACTAAAACAGGATATTAGGTGTGCGCATTACATGCGTATGAAATAGCCACAAGAGGGTTGTTGTTTGGACATTAGGTCAAGCAAAGCCAGTATAAAATGCAGGTAAGTCACACATGCAACGGGAAATACCCTTCAGTTCCTGGGTGTATATACACCTTATATGAGATTATTTTTTAATAATTACAAAAAAGTCAAAAGTTTAGAAGTTTTTTTGGAATAAACTTGACATTCTTTTGCACTAGTATATAAATTTCTGAGAACAAAAACTCAGCGTTGACTTCATGGCAAGAAAACAAAAATTATTTGCTATTATAGGTCACTGTTCACACTATTCTTGCCGAAACTTTTATTTTTTCTGAAAGAAGTCAAAAGGTTTTTATCTTTTTATGGATTTTTTCTTACAAGCAATGGAAGGTCAACTTCAATTCAAAAATATTTTCAGAATTTTTTCACTTATTTAATTACTAATATGTTTTTCCATATAGGGTGTATATACACCCATAGACCAAAAGTTCCCCTACCACATGCAACCAAATAATTTGCTCAGGAACATCACAAATAAAAAAAATGATATTATCTTATGAAAACGCGTCAAAAAATATATTATCTTATGAATTGATTTATCCTGTAGTAACCTGCAGTCTCTCAGATATGCCAGTTAGTTTGAAGGTAACTTCATTGGAAATCTCTCCAGTGGAGCTCCGGTGGTCAAACCGGTCAGCACACCTGAGCTTCAACCTTAAGGTTTTATTCCTGAAAGCACTATAGCTTGTATGCCACACCCCAACTATGCTGAACCTCTCACCAATCGACTCATTCCCAAGTGGCCATTTAAGTCCCCCTTTGGCATCAGGATCAACAATAGCTGAAGACACTAAGCTCTTTATGGCATTTTCCACTTCAGGCTGCAAGTGATATCAGATGAGTCTGCAGAAGATAAGATCGTAACAGAAAGGCTCAAGGTAGTTCTAATATGAACTCACGTCTATGTTCTTCAGGATCCTTTTTGTACGCAACATCAGCCTTAAATCAAAATCTTTGGACAGGCAGGATATGTCCTCCACCAGCTGCCGTATCTGGTTCAATTCAACCTGCACGAGAAGTAACAGTGAAGACTAATGAGAAAGAAAACCATTGTTAGCTGGCGGCTTGTAATGAATAGTATATCTGAGCAATTTAGCACAAGCCACAGTATGTGGGCCACGTATTATAACCTAACCAACTGGCCCTATACATGGTATAAATGAAATTTTGCACATCTCCTCACCTATCTAAGGGAAAATGTTATGCCCAACAAAATCAGCAGTAGAATGAAAAGAAACAAGGCAAAAAAGAATAATAATCGCATCGACTATAGCCTACATCTGCCAGTGAAACAATCTCCATTCAACTCATTTCAAGCAAACATAGTTGCTTTTCCATAACAATGCTGTCACACTGAGTTTTATTGCTGCAGTATTTTGAGTTAAAAAACATACTGAGTTCAGAGCTAATTGTCCAAGTTATAGACCACAAACAAGAGACACGGCTGCTTTAGAGAAAGAAGGAAACACCGCCCACTTGAGTGGCAATCAGAAGACCACATATAGTGGTACGCATATAGTGAATGATATCGTGTATACAAACTGATTCTATTTACGCATTCCTTCATCTGAATTTCCCAAAAATTTCCTTTGAACAAAGACAAGCATGATAATTGATGGCTAAAAAGTTAGCAGCATACATCGTCTCAATGAATACCAACTTATAAATTGAGACGACTTAATTGTCAGGCGTAAAAGAACAAAACTATGCACAATCCCAATATTTCATACTGTGTTAGCGCTAAACGTTAACTGTCACGCTGAGATCTGAAAACCAAAAGAAAGGACATAAATGTATACTATACAGACCTTGTGGATCACAAGCTTCCCATCCTCTTGCACGGTGCATTTGCAAGACATCGTCGTATCACTTCGCTGCTTGTCAAACACCTATCAGGTATTTACAGGCCCCAAAGTCAATTCACACTCATCTGAAAAATAACCAGGTATAACTCTCAAACTGTCGGGACGTCCGAACCTTGACATGGTAGTGCTTTTTTGATGAATCGAACTTCAGATCCGTCAGCTTCCCAATATACATCCCAATCTCATCCACACACTTGCCGGGCAAATTCGTATAGAACGATTTACGGACCTGGCTCCTCGATCCTTCTGCCCCTGCTTTTGCTGCGTCGCGGACAGAGTCCAGGGAGACGGGTCCGCCGCTAGGTCCGCTACACAACATCACCCAAAGAAAGCAGCTCTTTGCGCATTAATCACAATGTGATGTGACACGAAGCACAGGTTCAAGAAATGAAATGGTGGACGGACAAATGTAGGAGAAGACTCACGGTTGGAACAGGACCTTGCCCACCCTTGCCACGAGGCTCAGCTTTACCTCCTCGTCTTCCGTGGGCGCATCGCGCGCCGTCGCCCTCGCCCTCTCCGCCGCGGCTAGGAGGTCCGGCAAGAAACTCTCGGTGATGGCCGCGACCGCGGCCTCCGCGGAGCCGGGGGCGCTTTTCGGGGAGGAGAGGGCGAGGACGAGGGGCTTGGCGCCCGTCTCGCGCTCGATGGGATCGCAGGGGAAGGGGACGAGGCGGAAAGTGTCGGCGTCGCCGGAGCCGGGGGGGAAGGGCGGGAGCGGGGACCAGCGGGAGACGCAGCCCGCGGCGTGGATGATCTTGTTGTTGGACGGGCGGAGGTGGTGACGCCCGCGACCGCGAGGGGAGGAGATGGAAAGGGACTGGAGGGAGGAGATCGGTGGGAAAGGGGTTGGGGCGGGCTCGGAGCTGCTGGAGTGGCGCCGGTGGGGCGGGAGGTAGGCCATGGCGGATGCCCGATTGGCCGGCGGCGAGGAGGTTACCTTTTTCCTCTGAGATTGAGGTTTTTTTTTTTTTGAAAGGAGAGATTGAGGTTTTGGGAAGGGGAGAAGGGGAAAGAGGGAAGTTGGCGATGGACTGTGCTGGAAACTGACCGTGGTCGCCTCTTTGTTTCAAGACCCTTTATTTTTCCCAAATGATAATGCTCACACACGTTTTAAGTCCGTTTATTTTTCCCAAATGATAATGCTCACACACATGATATGAAGTAATTCCGTCCATATGTTTTTTGATGGTCACTTTAGACTAGCTACAATGAAAGTAATTTTAGCAGTAACATCGAGTCCAACTCAGCAAATTTGCTTATGTGGTAATGAATTAATAAGGAGAGATGTAGTTTGAGTAACTTAGCTAGTTACTGTAACATCACATGTCTCAATGCAATATGAGTTTATAACCTAATAAATAAGCCTTTGCATGACACCACACTTATGTTACTACCCACTATGAAGATAGTAATATAGTCTAGGGATATGTGTATGTTACTAGTGTATGTTACTCTCCACTGTAGCTAGTCTTAGTTACAAAAGGATGACAACTTTAACTAGCCACAGTGGGAGTAACTTCAGCAGTAACATCAAATCCAACTCAGCAAATTTGTTTATGTGGCAATGAGTTAATGAGGAGAGAGGTAGTTTGAGTAACTTAGCTAGTTACTGTAACATCACATGTCCCAATTCAATATGAATCTATAACCTAATAAATAATGATTTGCACTTATGTTACTACCCATTATGAAGGTAGTAATATAGTCTAGGGATATGTGTATGTTAATCTCCATCGTGGCTAGTCTTATGAAGTATGGCAACTTTCTGTTTGAATGACAAGTTTCAGTTTTTTTGAGATTTGTTTTTTTTAGATGGCAACTTTAGTGTAAAAACGTGTGGGCGATGTTACTACATGCCGCACGATGTGGCAATTATCGTGTTGGGGAACGTAGCAATAATTCAAAATTTTCCTACATGTCACCAAGATCAATATAGGAGATGCTAGCAACGAGAGAGAGGGAGTGCATCTTCATACCCTTGAAGATCGCTAAGCGGAAGCGTTACATGAAACGCGGATGATGGAGTCGTACTCGCGGCGATTCAAATCGCGGAACATCCGATCTAGCGCCGAACGGACGACGCCTCCGCGTTCAAGACACGTACAACCAGGGGACGTCTCCTCCTTCTTGATCCAGCAAGGGGAGAGGAGAAGTTGAGGGAGAACTCCGACAGCACAACGGCGTGGTGGTGATGGAGCTCGTGGTTTTCCGACAGAGCTTCGCCAAGCATTATGGAGGAGAAGGTGTTGGAGAGGGGGAGGGGGCTGCGCCAGGGGAAGGGTGTGGCAGCCCTCCCATCTCCCCCCCATATTTATAGGGGAAAGGGGAGAGAGGGCCGGCCCCCTAGATCACATCTACAAGGAGGGGGCGGCGACCAAGGGGGGACTTGCCCCCCAAGTCAGGTGGGAGGCGCCCCCACCCCCTAGGGTTTCTAACCCTAGGCGCCTTGGGCCCCTTTGGGGGGCGCACCAGCCCACGAGGGGCTGGTTCCCCCCCCCCCTTTGTTCAGCCCATTAGGCCCATCGAGGTAGGTGGCCCCATCCGGTGGACCTCCGGACACCTTCCGGTGGTCTCGGTACAATACCGATAACCCCCGAAATTATTCCGGCGACTGAAACAAGACTTTCCATATATAATTCTTCACCTTCAGACCATTCTGAAACTCCTCGTGACGTCCGAGATCGCATCCGGGACTACAAACAACCTTCGAACCACATACTATTTCCCATAACAACTCTAGCGTCACCGAACCTTAAGTGTGTAGACCCTACGGGTTCGGGAATCATGCAGACATGATCGAGACATCTCTCCGGCCAATAACCAACAGCGGGATCTGGATACCCATGTTGGCTCCCACATGTTCCACGATGATCTCATCGGATGAACCACGATGTCGAGGATTCAATCAATCCTGTATGCAATTCCCTTTGTCCATCGGTATGTTACTTGCCCGAGGTTTGATCATCGGTATCCCCATACCTCGTTCAATATCGTTACCGGCAAGTTTCTATACTCGTTCTGTAACGCATGATCCCGTGACCAACTCCTTAGTCACATTGAGCTCGTTATGATGATGCATTACCGAGTGGGCCCAGAGATACCTCTTCGTCATACGGAGTGACAAATCCCAGTCTCAATTCGTGCCAACCCAACAGATACTTTCGGAGATACCTGTAGTGCACCTTTATAGCCGCCCAGTTACGTTGTGACGTTTGGCACACCCAAAGCATTCCTATGGTATCCAGGAGTTGCACAATCTCATGGTCTAAGGAAATGATACTTGACATTAGAAAAGCTTTAGCAAACAAACTAACGATCTTGTGCTACGCTTAGGATTGGGTCTTGTCCATCACATCATTATCCTAATGATGTGATCCCGTTATCAACGACATCCAATGTCCATGGTCAGGAAACCATGACCATCTATTGATCAACAAGCTAGTTAACTAGAGGCTTACTAGGGACATATTACGATCTATATATTCACACATGTATTACGGTTTGCGGTTAATACAGTTATAGCATGAACAATAGACAATTATCATGAACAAGGAAATATAATAATAACCACTTTAGTATTTCCTCTAGGGCATATTTCCAACAGTCTCCCACTTGTACTAGAGTCAATAATCTAGTTACATTGTGATGAATCGAACACCCATAGAGTTCTGGTGTTGATCATGTTTTGCTCGCAGAAGAGGTTTAGTCAACGGATCTGCGACATTCAGATCCATATGCACTTTACAAATATCTATGTCTCCATCTTGAATATATCCACGAATGGAGTTGAAGCGACGCTTGATATGCCTGGTCTTCTTGTGAAACCTGGGCTCCTTGGCAAGGGCAATAGCTCTAGTGTTGTCACAGAAGAGAGTCATTGGGCCCGACGCATTTGGAATAACTCCTAGGTCGGTGATGAAATCCTTCATCCAGACTGCTTCTTGTGCTGCCTCCGAGGCTGCTATGTACTCCGCTTCACATGTAGATCCCGCCACGACGCTTTGATTGCAACTACACCAACTGACTGCCCCACCATTCAAAATGTACACGTATCCGGTTTGTGACTTGGAGTCTGATGACCCATAAGTATAGGGCATCTATCGTAGTCCTTTCGATAAGTAAGAGTGTCGAACCCAACGAGGAGCAGAAGGAAATGATAAGCGGTTTCCAGCAATGTATTCTTTGCAAGTACTGAAATAAGTGGTAACATATAGTTTTGTGATAAGATAACTTGTAGCGAGAAACAAGTAACAAAAGTAAATAAAGTGCAGCAAGGTGGCCCAATCCTTTTTGTAGCAAAGGACAAGCCTGGACAAACTCTTATATAGAGAAAAGCGTTCCCGAGGACACATGGGAATATCGTCAAGCTAGTTTTCATCACGTTCATAAGATTCGCGTTCGGTACTTTGATAATCTGATATGTGGGTGGACCGGTGCTTGGGTACTGTCCTTACTTGGACAAGCATCCCACTTATGATTAATCTCTATTGCAAGCATTCGCAACTACAACAAAAGTATTAAGGCAAACCTAACCATAGCATGAAACATATGGATCCAAATCAGCCCCTTACGAAGCAACGCATAAACTAGGGTTTAAGCTTTTGTCACTCTAGCAACCCATCATCTACTTATTACTTCCCAATGCCTTCCTCTAGGCCCAAATAATGGTGAAGTGTCATGTAGTCGACGTTCACATGACACCACTAGAGGGATGACAACATACATCTCATTAAAATATCGAACGAAGACCAAATTCACATGACTACTAATAGCAAGACTTCTCCCATGTCCTCAGGAACAAACGTAACTACTCACAAAGCATATTCATGTTCATAATCAGAGGGGTATTAATATGCATATTGGATCTGAACATATGATCTTCCACCAAATAAACCAACTAGCATCAACTACAAGGAGTAATTAACACTACTATCAACCCACAGGTACCAATCCCGGACTTGGAGACAAGAGATGAACTAGGGTTTTGAGAGGAGATGGTGCTGGTGAAGATGTTGATGGAGATTGCCCTCTCCCGTTGAGAGGAGCGTTGGTGATGACGATGGCAATGATTTCCCCCTCCCGGAGGGAAGTTTCCCCGGCAGAACAGCTTCGCCAGAGCCCTAGATTGGTTCCGCCAAGGTTCCGCCTCGTGGCGGTGGAGTTTCGTCCGAGAAGATGGCTTATGATTTTTTTTCTCATTGAAAGACTTCATATAGCAGAAGATAGCCACCGGAGGGCCACCAGGGGGCCCACGAGGTAGGGGGGCGCGCCCAGGGGGTAGGGGCGCCCCCTCCCCCACCCTCGTGGGCAGGGTGTGGCCCCCCTGGTGAACTTCTTCCGCTGAGTATTTTTTATATATTCTGAAAACGTCTTCCATGAAGTTTCAGGACTTTTGGAGCTGTGCAGAATAGGTCTCTAATATTTGCTCCTTTTCCAGCCCAGAATCCCAGTTGCCGACATTCTCCCTCTTTATGTAAACCTTGTAAAATAAGAGAGAATAGGCATAAGTGTTGTGACATAATGTGTAATAACAGCCCATAATGCAATAAATATCGATATAAAAGCATGATGCAAAATGGACGTATCAACTCCCCCAAGCTTAGACCTCGCTTGTCCTCAAGCGAAAGCCGAAATCGAAAAATATGTCCACATGTTTAGAGATAGAGGTGTCGATAAAAATAAAATATGGACATGAGGGCATCATGATCTTCTTAGAACAGCAACTTATATAATTCTTGTCATATGATTTCTTATGCTAGAGTAATAAGTCAATCACAATTTCAAGTATGAATCGTAAACTTCATTGAAAACTAACAAACTATAATCTCAGTCATTGGAGCAATTGCAATTTATCATAACATAGGAAAGAGTAAATATATAAGAGCTTTTCAACAAGTCCAC